TTGTTTGGGAACTGTTTGCCCATGAAAACGCATGCCACCACTCCTGTCCGTGTGAAACCTTGCAAAATCTGGCTCCCTACTGATGTTCCCAACTGGTCTATTCAGAAGACAGGCCATCCACTTTCGGACCTTCGATGAAGAAACAGCTTATTTAATCCTTGTTGGTTCCCTTTGAACGCTCCAAAAAGTTGTTTTTCAATCATCCAATCCAAGCCAATCATTTGGGGTCTTGATTTCAGTCTGGTGAAGAATCCCACCCCTGGGCTGTCAGGAACGGACGGAAGCTCCAGGCGGAGAACGTGTTTTTTCTCTTGCGTCCCGTTTCGAAAGAGTTGCCTGGATGGCCTTGTCGATGCAAGTTAAGATACTCCAATTCCGGACTGACTGGCATAGGTCAACCACCCCAGGTCAACCACCGCCGCCCTGGCCGCTTCTTCGTGTGGCGTTCCGATCCGATCCGCTGGACTGCTCCAGGTCTTCTGCGTCACCGGCTGCACCTCGGGCACCGGACTGGTGGCCGCCACGACCGCCGCGAAGAAAGGAGACCACGGGGGGTCCGAGGGGTCGGGGATCGATTGACCTACACATTGAATTGGGAGATCTTGACCTGGGGTCAATGGACAAATGTCAGTGCCATGTCAATCCTGGATTCAGGTAGGCACACCTTCTGCACTGGGCAAAAACCTGTCGCCTTTTGGAGAATTTGTAGCAGTGATTGGGAGAAATCTAGATCATTTAGGTGGAGGATCAAGAGAAAAAATCAGACAGCTTGAAAACACAAACTTCGATCCTGCACGAGGTTGTCAGACCCGCCCACACACACGTTTGTGGGTTCAATCGTTGAATGATCCTGAACTTGGCACTAATTTGTGTTGTATGTTTTTTCAAAGATATAACATATGACATGATTCATGTTGTTATAGCTATGTAGCTATAACATCTTGAAATTTGGACTTCGTGCAACTGGATGATTCTAGATGTTTTTTCCTGGGCCAAACATCCATGTGAGTGTACTTTCTGGGCCAAGCATCCATGATGAATCCATGTGAGCGTTGCATCCATGTGCTTTCCGGGTCGGCCAGCGGGTTCAGACTACTCGACGAGAAAAGGGAGGCCGACCATCCCAGGACCATCCCCCTGGGGCAGAAGGTGATTGGAGACACTGGAGACTGTAGGTGCCAGCCAGTCGGGTCCAGTCGTATTGAACCTGAGAAGGTCCGTGCCCTTTTCGGGCATCCGTTTTTCGGTGTCCATCCTTGGGACCGTCAGGGTGCTTGGGACCAAGTCTTCCTTCAGGGATCCCAGGCATCCGAAGGCAGTACCGCGCTGTCGTCGATGTCAGGAGCACATGTGGTGATGTTAAATCGCCAGAGCCCCTCGGCCGGTCGTGTTCTATTCCGCGTCCGAGGTCCCGGGGCGTCGGTCGAAGCCGGAAGTCGGACCAAACCTGGTTTGGGGGGTGGCTATTAGAAACAAGGAGCTATTAGGAACAAGTGCCTTACTACTAGTAACAAGTGCCTTAAGTGCCTTACTAGTAGTAACAAAAAAAGCTTTTAGAAACAAGAACCTATTAGAAATAGAATCGTCCCTACCTTCTGAAGATGTGGGCCAGGAGCCCTAGGCCGCATAGAGCAAACACGGTCCAACCGCTGCAGGATTCAACAACAAAGTGAGCTCGGAGGATTCCGCACTTTAATGAAAGCGGTTGGGGTAACCACTGGCAAGTTCGTTGCCAGAGACAAGAAAATGGTGATCTGTTTTGGGTAGTGTGTTTGGTGTATCATTTCTCCTAGGTACCAGAGGATTATACTATATATGTGGTTCCATGAGAGATGGGGGTTCCGTGTAAGTAGTATCGCCCTTAATTAATGTTCAGCACCAAGACAATCAAGATGGGGTTATTGCCAAGCCACGTTTCAGAATGGATTGCACAAACTGCGTTTGACTGGACAATAACAAACTGGCGGCCAGCTTGCAAATGCTTGCAACCACCTGGACTGACTGAGAAGACTGTCGCTATGGCAAAAGCGATCAAAAAGATCCAACCAGCCACATCACCCTTAGAGGACCCACAGACCCAGCCTGCTAGAGGACCTTCTCAGAAGGTCGTTGGAGCCCGAAGGGCTTTGAGGGGGTTCTTGACCTTGTACCCCGGGGAATGAAGTACAAAGCATGGGGATGCACTTTGAGGCTGTCAAACCGGGCTCGGCTTCAGGAACAGATGCCAGTCTGGCGCCGCACTGCCGGGAGCATCCCGGAGCAGGTCATGTGAGCGACGGACAAAATTATTGGCTGACTTATTTAGTCATGGCATGACCCTAAACCTATGTTGAGGGCTTTGTTTCTGTGGAAAACGATATGGTCCCCACCAAAAACGATAGTCTTGTTAAGATGTAGTGGGTACAAAGATGTTTGTGGTTACCAGATGCGATTGCATTTGCAAGTTTATTTGAGCATATTTGAGCTAAACCGATGGGCACCTCTTTTCATCAATGATAATCCCAGACAACTTCCCAAACGATAATCCAAACGATAAGCGAACGATAACCTAAATGTCACGCCAGGCACTCCGTAGACCTACTTCTCCACATTACTAGTGTTGGTACGAGCGCATAAATCAAGTGCTGTGCCATTCCTGTGCAGAAAGCACTGTAAGCCTCTAATCTGAGGTTGTGAGTCATATTTTGTGTTTTAGCCTATGTGCTGGTATGCTATGCTAACTACGGTTTGGAGAAACATTGGAGAACGATATGGACCCCACCAAAAACGATAATCATGTCAAATGGTATTGCGCTACACAAGTAATTTTGTCCGCTGCTCATGTGAGAAGTTGAGGAGGTGTGCCAGTCTCAAGCCCACCTGAATTCCATGGCCATGCGGACGGTGAAGGAACCGAAGGTACTTGTAAGAAGGTGGGCAAGTTGTGGCCGTCCATGTGGCAAGTCTTCGTGCAGAGCAATGCTTGAAAGTTCGTTGTGAAGATGTCGCATTCGATCCATGCAGTGCAAGGATTCATGTGCCTGCTTTGAACCGACCGCTGAAGGAGTTGGTTGAGCACCATTGAGCACCCAAAGCCGAGTCAATTGTGAATGCATCGAAGGAGAGGAGGAAAAACACCTTGGCCCCCCATCCCCGAAGATGAGCAACGTACGAAAACCCATCATCGGCCCGGACTTGTGCGGCCAGCGACATCAGTCGAAAACGATGGCGCATCAATAATCAACCTGTTGCTTCTAACGGGTCACCGATGGACCAAGCACACTGTATTATAGGATATTATAGGGCTCCATTGGACACCCATTGGATTCGCTAGGAAAGTAAGTCTTCATCAGCCTAAATAACAAAAACACCAACAGTATCCAACAGTACTACTTACCGACTGTACTAAATACTGAACGGAACCTCAACAGGCTGCTACTGTATAAGAAGTAACAACAAAAACAGACACGGCAGTTCAAGGCACCAAAACACAGCTTTCAATTCCACAGATTCATGAGGATTGGAGGTATACCCCTACCATAGACCCCTGGAACTGTAACCATTTGACCACTATATACTATCATGAGCACATTGATGTAGACCATGTCAATTCCCCTATATCATACTATATCATTATAAAACCAATTAATACCATAACCATATAACACCAATGCCATTCCGCCTCTCTCTCTCTCTCTGTCTCTCTCTCTCTCTCTGCTCCGCTCCGCTCCGCTCCAGTCCCAGGCGACCGCGCCGTGGCCGCTGAAAAGGCCTTGCGGGAGCAGGTGCCGGGCGCTGAGGCCGGACCGACCTGGCCCGGCCGAGGTGCAGTGGCCTTGGCGGTGTCTTTGTGTTGTTTTATTGTGAAAAAAACTTGTTTTGTTTTATTGTGAAAAAAGACACGGTTTTAAAAACATATATATATATATATATACCCTGCAGGTCAACGACCATTTTAAAAAAGGTGGTTGTCGAACGACCATTTTTTAGGAAGAACGACTTTTCATGACGTTTCCACCCCTGCCATCCGTTCCAGCGCACTTTGCTCAGGCGCAGATTGTGGCTCAGTGGTCAAAGCAGGAGCTTCTTCAAAGCCCTCTAGAGAAAACACGTGGGCCCATCCAGATCTCCACTGTTGAAAAGCGCCCAGAAGAGTTCGAAAGTAACTTGACAAAGGTTCCGCCATGTTCCATCATTTCCAAGTATACTGGAACAATTGGGGACCAAACTTGGGAACTTGGGCTGTCGGTGCCATGACTGCGCCAATGATGGGCATGAAGGCCATGTATGTTGGAAGCTCAACTGATTTTTGTTCAACCAATTCGAACCAGTAACACACATTTCCTAAACACTGAGACCTATATGAAAATTCAGGTCACACCCGCTCAATGAAAAGAGCATTGCGGAAACGCCAGCCACCTAGATTGGTTTGCGTTCAACTTGCACTTTACTTTAATTAAAGTATGGGGGGTACCGGATCCCAAATGCCTTTCACCGTCCAAGGTGCCCTAGAGGCCTTCGAGGAGGAACTGATGGATCCGGATGAACATGGTTCGCCCGCCTCCCTGCTAACGTGGAAGCGTGTGTGCGATACAACTTGATCGATCCGTGCTTTTTGCTTTTAGATCATATTGATCATCGATAGATCATGATAGATCGATAGTATCATGGATTGGGACCAAGTGAACTGCACTGCCGAAACTTGTGCATCCCTTCTGGCCATTTGGGCCCAGAAAAGTGCAGGCCCAGCAACCTGTTGCATTTTGGGGCAGGGCTTGCGAGCTAGGCCATATGATTCCCCGCAAAAGCGATGAACAATTGGCTCTGCTCAAGGACTTCCCAGTAAGTGCAGAGTTGGTGCATTTTTCGAACAAGTGGCCATGGATCAAGTTAAATGGAATCTAACGCGAACCAATGATTGAGACCCAACCAGTACACGGGGTCGTTTGCAGGAGTTCTTCACGGAGTACTGCCAGGAGGACGATTGGGCATCCAAGCGAAAGAAGTCATTGAAGGCAAAGATGGGCTCATCTGCCAAAGATGTACGGGTCCTTCCCTCAATTCCCAAACTGATGTCAAATTCCCATCGAAGGCGTTTTATTAATATTGATCGATTCACATGTTGATCAACTGATTTCCCAGGCTGTGCGCTTCACTTTCCTAACGCGCCTTGACGATGGGGATGTGGTGAGAGAACATGAGGTGCGTGCGACTTGATGGGTCGATCGCCCTTTTGGTGTTCGATGTTGATCCCTGATATCCAGTACGTATGTTCGCTGATCCTCTTCGTTGCAGGTGGAAAGCCCCGACAATGCTGACTTTCTTATCTCGTTCTTTGCGGCGGTTGGGGATCAGATACCCACAAACACGGAACTGAAGGACTGCTCATGGATTCTGTTTTGATCAGACCTACAATGTCCATCCAGGCCATGTGAGTCTATTATTGCCAGGAGTCCCTTGCGTGGGCAAGCTTCCATCTAGGGTTGAACCCGCATTTTCGCACCTCTGCCTTGCACATGGTTCTGAACTCAGGTTTTAGAACGACTGGCCGTGTACTATAAAGATCCGATCGAGTCATCGTACCGAGGCATGGGCAGAATCAGAACAAATGCTGCTCCGCAGTTTCATCACCTACTGCACACACCGCTTTCAACGCAACCCCAATGCAAGGAGTGAGTACGAGTCATTCTATGCACTGGCCTTCAAGAACCTTTTGAGACAATAATGGCATGCTGATCGATTGGCTAGACCAATGAACCCTCACTCTGAAGGAGTGGAAGACAAAAGATGGCTGAGATCAAGTCCATCATCAAAACAAAACTGAAGGCGTGCCAGTCTAGCAACCTGATATGTTTTATTGTCCTGCACGTTTGACTTGATTTCTATTCTTTCAACTAACCAAATCGATTATATAACTGTCATCCACAACATGTGGCCACAGGAAGCTGGGCTGCTCACATCGAAAGGAAAAAAGATTGCGTCCAGAGGACGTTCTGCATCCTTTCGCCAATCAGGCGGGCAGCGTTGGTCCCGGGATAGTGAGCCGATGCATACACAGCTAAGTTCGATCGATTTAGAAATTTTATATACTTGTGACCGGTCCCGGTACCTGAAATTCAGTCATGCTACGCATGTACTTTCACACGCGCTATACACATGTACATGCATGCATGCGTGCACAGAACTGTCCACCCATGCACTGCGCGCTCACACAGCACAGGACAGGAAGAAGAAGAGCAAGATGACCCACCAACAGAAATTGAGGAAAGCGATGAAAATGAAGATGAAAAAGCAAAGGCAGAAGAGGTAGAAATTGAAGAAGGTGAAGAAAAAGAGGAGATAGAAGGAGAGGAAGAGGAAGAGGAAGAGGAAGAGGAAGAAGTGGCAGAGGAGGTAGAACCTGAGAAGAAAGGTGAAGAAAGTGTGAAGGAAGAGGAGGAGGCAGAACATGAGAAGGAAGTTGAAGAAAGTGTGAAGGAAGAGGAGGAGGTAGAAGGTGAGAAGGAAGTTGAAGAAGTGTGAAGGAAGGGGAGGATGTAGAACTTGAGAAGAAAGTTGAAGAAAGTGTGAAGGAAGAGGAGGAGGTAGAACGTGAGAAGGAAGTTGAAGAAATTGTGAATCTGAAAATAGAGGAGGAGGTAGAGGAGAAAGAACAAGGTGAAGATGAGACGATGCACAAGGGTGGAGAGACCAAAGAACACCCTGATCAAGTGGAAACCCTTGAGATGCCCATAGCAGAGGCCGGCATTTGGGAGCTCGATCCATTGCAAGATTCTCAAATTTTGCAGTGGGTGCCAAAAGCAGGAGGGGATCCAAAAGAGGCGAAAGAGAATGCAAAGGAGGGTGTCAAGGTGGAACCAAAGGAACCGGATGAGAAGAGTACAGCAAAAAGAAACAAACTTGCCAGAGCAAGTTGAAATATCATCAACAAAGGAGGAAGCCAAGAAGAAAAAGGTCAACCGTGAGATTGAGAAGAAAGAAGAACCCGAGATCAGTCAACCCCGGAGCGAAGAAGTTGACGCTCCGTTTGTTGAAGACTTGGTGAGTGAAGAGGAGGAAGTGAAAACTGGAGAAAGCCGTGGAACCTTCAAGGACTGTGGGTGTGGTGGCACTTCAGGGTTGTATTTTTTTGGCATGGGGTGTGTATGTTGGCCAATGTACGTATCGATATACCACAGACAAGAAAGTACCGCGCAACACGGACCCTTTTATCTTCACTCTTAAGATCAACCTCCCAATGCTCAGGACCGAAAGCCATTGACACAAGAACCTCTTCATGACCCTGACACTGCAAAGGCTGCTGAGAAGATGTTGGCGGATGAGGAAAAGAATCATCGTATCGAAGATCTCATGGAGGCTAATTAGTCGTGTCGCCAGTCCCAAGAGAGGTCATTCTTTGATAGAGCCGTTCGTTCCTGGGTAGGTGGATTGACTTCGACATACTCCGGCTTGGATACAATATATATCGATCGATCGATATCTATAACATGTTGCGCTACCTGTTCACTGCACGCGCGGCTTGGGACAGGCCCAAAAAAAGATGAGAAAGACCATGCGGGAAGAAGAGGAAGAGCATGAAGATCAAGACAAATTCATCAGAGACATGGACGAAGCATCGGAGGCTGGAAAGAAGCAGGGAAGAGGAAGGGGCAGAGGCAGAGGAGGAAAAGGCAAAGGAGGAGGAAAAGGCAAAGGCCGAGGAAGGGCTTCAAAGGATGCAGCTTCGGCATCCCCATCAAAACGAAAGCTCGAGCTCCTCAAGAGGGCAAATGCTGCCAAGTCGGGTGAGCTGAGCACGAGCAGCTCCAGCAGAGTCAGAACTGCAAGGCGCTTGGACCCAGAATTTAAAGCAGTTGAGGAATCAAAGAGTGGAGATGGAGGCAAGCAAGAATCTGCTGAGGAGCAGCCAAGGAAGCCACGAAGGAGGCTGAGACCAGCACATGAAAATGTGGAGGAAGTGGAAGAAGAAAAGGAGATGAAGAAGAGGCCGAAGGTGGAAGCAAAAAGGATTGAGGAAGCAAAGGAAGAAACGAAGGGGAGCCGTCGTAAGAGAACAAAGGAGAATGCGAGCAAGAAAGCAGAAGAAGAGGTGAAGAAAGTGAAGAAAGCCAAGAAAGAGGAGCGTGGTGAAGAGGAGGAGCGTGACGAACCTGAGCCTCCCGACATGACTCCCAAGACGAAGAAGCTGAAGGAGAAGAAACGCAAAGCAAAGGAATCTGAGGCCATATATATGTTGTGGGGCGCAAGTCGTTGTTTGCATGCATGTATAGGGCATCGAGTATCCGACCATATCCGACCTAAATGAGCTTCTCGTGAGCTAGATTAGCGACAACGGCTCACTTATCCTGTGACCCTTCGGAGCTCTATCCTCTCACTTCGTATATTCACCAATCCACCTTCGCGAGCGCAGGAGAAAGGAAAGAAAGACTTCAAAGCTGTATTGGCAGACGACCCTCATTGCAAAGGACTTCTGGATGTGATGGTGGACACACAAAAGTCCGGGATCACAGTCGAGTTTTGATTGCCCTGTCATGTTTGGGACTTCAACTTTGGTACATGAAAAAAGCAAATCGAACATGAACCCTCACATGCAAATATACGTACGTAGTAAACAAACATGAAAACACTTAACCCATCTCATGGCCCAGGTCCTACAGCTTTCGGCCACCGACTTCTTTGCCGGATTCAGCCATCAAGGAGGACTTGAAGTTGCCGTCGATTGCCCCCGCGTGGGGTGCTTGATTTCCGGAGACCTAGTTTCGAGACCCACCCCTGGCCACGTTCGTTTCTTTTCTTCGATATCAGCCATCTTACCACGGCTAGTGCAAACACCTATGGCCTAGGTTTGACCGTCACTCCTTCTACGTTTGCCCCTGCAATGACGAAAGAGTGAAGCTGGTAAACGTGCGCTGTGGTACGAAGTTCATGGTAACTTGGCTTGGCCAAATTGGCAACTAGTCATATATATAGATCGAATCTAGAAACATGCTTGTCCGCTATTAAGGCAAACGCTCAGAAAGGCGTGTCGATTGGATGGTCCAAGCATGGGGGGATCATCAAGGCGTCCGGGGCCCAAAACATCCAAATTTGAACAACAATCTGTTCTCGATTTATTCATTGCGGCTAAGTTGGGAGTATGCCAAGCTCATCGCCGGGTGGCAGAGAGTCTACGATTCGAGTGGCAAAGTGTGACCTGAGCGGGATAGCCGACCTAGCTTTCGTGCCACCCATAGAGAGGGTAAGCTTCAGAATGCTATATATAGCGCAGCTATATTTATTTATATGGATGTTCGATCGATCATCTAAATCGTCTAATCTAAGTCACCATGCAAATCCTTTGGGGTGAGGTTGGTACACGTACACGGTACACGCTTAGAGCTTTTGGGAGGGGCCCAACAACCCTGTACTGCGCGTGCGCCTTCGCATGCGCTGCAGCAGTGGCGAGATTGGGATCATCCTGCGCTGCAGGCTGAAAAGTTCGGCGAATGGCTTGCACTAGCAACTAGTACTGCTTGCCGTTTGTGTGCATTGTACATACTGGCCAAATAGTATATATATATATATATTTCGATTCTGCAGCACAATTTGGGAAGGTAGCTGAATTCTGAAAAACGAAAGGAACCAGCTAGCCGATATAGCCATGGTTGCACGAATTGCTCTCTCGAAGTCGACGGTCAAAGCACTTTTGTGGTTTGGATTTCCTGTGGTGATGTTACCTTTCTGCAATTGGGAGATTGTTTTGGCAGGGTTATATGAGTAATTAATAGTACTTGTTCAAAAGGCTTCAAATGCATCGCCACTGTAGGCTACATGCATGCGACTACATATGTCAGCAAGTTGAAGGAACCAGGCAGGACAAAAGAGCCTGAACCCCAGAATTGTGGGAATTATTCTGTGGGAGCATTGAATCTTACAAGCGCCGGCTACAAAGGACATGGTGGTCCTTGACCTTTTCGCGGGAAAGCAATCAGTGTCTATTGGCTTTAGTGTGGTGCCCAGGGTGCATCGATCCTCAATTTTGAAAACTTCTGCAATATTTTGGGGGTGATCACCCAGGATCAACAACCGGTGAGTCGGATCTCTCCTCCTCCCAAGGCGAGCTTGGGATGAAAGCGTCCTTGCCTTAACTAACAACCCAATTCACTGCAGGACTGTTCTAAATCCAATTTAATTTGATCGTAAATTCCTTCAAAATCAGTTTCCAAACCTACTATCCTTCAGGTCAGCCTACGACAAGGAACTTGACGGGGATGATGGTGACATCACAACAGTGCTTGGGTCTGAGTGCCCTTAACCTCCTTTAACAAAAGGCATTGCACCCTGACCACCACCCACGTTCCAGCCAGGCACCCCCTTCCACACTGCATGTGTCCTGAGGCCAGGATTCCTCCGAGCCATATTGT